CAATTACCGCAATAAAATTATCTGGAGCAGTGGCGGCCCGTTACATTTCATTTTGGTGAGGCAGAGGCAGGATTTCGCCCTCATTTTTTTTTTAAACCCAACTTAAAAAAACTGACGTCGCAGTTCACAACCTATACTTAAAACTAAGTAAAAAAACTTAGACTGTGGTGGGGAAGGAATTAATTAATATTTCATTGTTCAGCAAGAACCACGTGAAGGTCAACAATATCGGTATAATTTCTCACCGTAATATCCAAAATGACTAAATTCACATAAATCACCAAGTTTAATTAACTAAACCCACAGAATAAACCACTTACAAAAGAATCATAAAATATAAATAAAATGAATAAAATAAACTCATTGAAAAAGAATAAATAAAATATTGCGTAAATAACCACAGATTTGTTCTTTAAACAGTTCAGAATTTTATAACCAAAACAAACCTAAAGAAGGAATTTGTATTTATTTTATTGGTTACTGTGATGGCTACAAGGTGGCGATAGTGTTAAAATATGTTTATTTTAGAATTTTGATTAAATCGATTAAGTCGATTTATTATAAAAAAAATATTACCATTTATTATTGAATTTTGAAAAACGTGTGAAGTATAATTTATCTAAAATTCCGCAACAGTGTTGCCAGAACACCTGCTTATTTCCTTGGATGTAGGCGTGCCTGCCTCGCGTATGCTAATACGAGAGAAGGAGACAACTATGATATCGCATTGTAATAGAACGAGGCAACAAGGCTAACGCCAATCGTGAGTCTAAATTAGTTCAGGCATGCTTCTGAGCCAATCATCTAGCTATAAATATTAGTTTAAATTGCGGTCGTTTCAAATTCAAATAATTTAAATGTTGCTGGGTATTCCACGTATAAAATCAATCAATTTTATCGACTATTTCACAATTCATGTAATCCAAATATTAAAAATTTATTGTATATTATAGGAAGTAAAATATTTAAATTATACTTAATTTTTTAATTCTCTGTGATGAGGCACTGCCTCACCTGCCTCCCCTGACGGGCCGCCACTGATCTGGAGAATTGTATTTCAAGATGGAAAATTGAACAAAACCCCACTAAAATTTTTTTTCCCGAGTAGACTCTGTTTCGGACGCCTATGGTAATCATTTATCCGATTTGGCACCACCCAGTGGCGTGCAGTGCCATTTAAAACGCGGCATGCAACAGTGTCGATAATTTTTTTCTTTGCCCAACAATTGTCATACATGTTTTACAGGGTAGGATGTAAAAAACTTTAGCTGATTGGTCTAAATTAATTTTGGGTAGGCGGTGATAATCGAATACTTTGGCAGTGAGCGTTGACAATAATAATTATAGAACGCTTCAAGATAAATTACTTTTCCCAATAACTTAAATATTGATTGAATTATTAGTGCCGAATTTTCCAGGTAATATTTAAAGCGACAGAGGTGTTTTTTCGCCTTAATTAGGTTTTCAAAAAGGCTACTAATTAAATAAAACTTAATTAAAATACTCTTTTAAGTTTGGCAGACTGAAATATTTTATATTTCGTTTAATTCATTACAAACACAAAATAATAAATTACTTGTAACATTTTTGTTTGTTGACATACCTTGTCGAGTAATTTAGTAATATTTAGACCCTTTTTTCGTTCAAAACCCAAACTAGTTTTTCCATCGGTGGACACAGTGGGTTGCCTTTTTGCTTGCCCATGTAGCGTGGGTAGCGTAGCGTTGTTCAATTAAATTTAATCCTGATTTATGCGTTTTGATAACAGAGGAGAAGGATTTCGACTTAATGGCAAGCGTTAACGAATACAATTAAATATGTTAAATTTGCATACCTACATATCGTACAAAAATATTTGTTAATTTTAACCAAATATTAACCAGATTTTAAGTTAACCCTAGTCCACATGACTTTAAGTTAAGTTTACAACCAACTGTAATCTGTTAACTAATTAAATAATGGTGGATTTATGCAGCACAAATTAATATTAAGATTAACTTTAACATTAACATTAAGATTAAGATTAATTTAACATTAATAGGAGGGTATTTATGCAGCAAAATTAGTAGCAAATTAAGCATGCGTATAAGCTAAAGTAATTTTGACATCTGACATTTTTGGTTTGTTTGAATTTTGTTTTAATCCCGTTTTAGCATCTGTTAAGTAAAATAAATAAAAACTATAAACTCCACGTCAAACAATAAACCAATTAACACAATCATTGAATAAAAAATCAATCATTCAGCAGTAAGTTTCATTTAATTTCGAGTATGTTGGCATTACTGACACGGTTTATTTAAAAATTGCGCCGCAAACCTGCGCAGGAGGAATAAAAATTAACATTATCATTAAGAAGATAAAAGTTGGCCATCTCTTAATGTTAACTTAATGCTAAAGTTAATGTTAATGTGTTGCATAAAAGCTTCCAATCGATTACGTTCATTTAACTTCTTAATGTTAATGTTAATCTTAATCTTAATGTTAACTTAATGTTAATTTGTGCTGCATAAATCCAGCATAAGTAGTTTGTAATTTTAACAAACATTCTGTAGAATTAATACATTAAGTACTCCAGCTTAGTTTAACTAATTTCGTAATAAAATGCTGTGCTCAATCACCTCAAAATGTAAGTTTTTTGTTGGTATTTTATTTATTTATTAAATTATTTTGGCTTAAATTTATCTTGAATGTACTAAAGTAATTGGTATACGGCAAATAGATCATATTTATCTTAACAATATTTTAAATACTAAGTAATACTAAAACTTTAATGTATTTTATGTAAAAAAATAACCATTATTTGACATTTTCTGTCGTTTATTTTAATTATTAATTGAAAGGGCAACAAAGTTAACAAGTTTCAGTATTAGGCAGTGCACTTTTTAATTTTTTTATCTAGCTAGCTTTATATATCTCCACTGTGTTACTAATTTGAAATCCAAAATTTAATTCAATAAAAAAAGTTGTTATAAAAATAATTTGAAAAAAAATGTACTTAGTTCCCAAACTTTTGACTCCAATTTTTTATTTTATTTTTTATTAAAAATTGTATGCTTTTTTTTAAATATGTAGGTATGTTCGTTAAGTTACTTTTTGAAAGAAACCATTCCGATTATTTGTTAAAAAAACAATACCATTAATATTTTCTTTTAGTCACTGTATTAGTGAATTAAACTCTAATTTATAAACATGTATTACCAAGTGATAGTGTATAAAAATAATTTTAAGTATTTTTTTTTAACAAAAACTAAAAAAGTAACGAAATAGACATTGGTATCACAACGGACAGGGGTACACAAAGATAACGTAAAAAAGAAACTATATAGGGTGGTACGATTTTAGAGTAATGCATATATGTTTATAAACAAAATCCCTTGTAGTGGTGTTCACTTGCAGAATAACAACTTAGATTTCTAAATTGTAGACACCTTTTTTCTTTGACTATAAGCTGGTGGTTTTAGTACTTTTATATTTTTCCTTGGATGTAATCTATATCATGAGTTGTAATTACAAATAATTTTAAATTGATTAATCATAAACTACTTTTAATAAAAGCGACGGTAAATATCCACTTTGTTGTCGAAAAATTCTATTGCGTTACCCTAAATTCCATTGCGTTACCATAAGGTAACATAGTGGACTCGATAACGCAGTGGACAAAGTTTTGTAAAACCATATTTAAAAAATAATAATAAGACATTATAGTCATTAATTACTCTCAATGAGTTTTAGTGCCCTAAAATAAACATAAACATGAAAAATAGTACTTTTTCTTACCATATTTTTTTTTTTTTGAGTAACTTAGCGGACAAACAATTATTACATTCGCGTTACCCGCATCTGTTTCAACCAATATCTTCTTCCTGATTGAATAAATAAATTCAGCTACCAAAAAAGTTGCCAAATATATGTTTTTTTTTTAATATTCTATCGGTAACGCGACGGACGTAACGCAACGGAAAAAATGTCTGGGACATGAGTAAAATTTAAAAAAAGTAGATTAAAATTAATTATTTTATATATAAATTGTTTACTGTATTAACTAAGGATGTTATGGATTGCTATAAAGCAACACAAAGTTCTGGTTATTCAATATTAAAAAAAAAACATGTATGTAAGTTTTATAAAACGCCAATGGGACATGCGAAAATGTGTGTTTCACAAGTTTCAAAATTAAAAAAAAATTATTCTGAAATAACTAAACAAAAATTTTCTGAAAGAGTTTACTAAGGGCTTGTTAGGCTTTCACTTGGTTTTTAAATCAATAAGATACTATAATTTTTAACAAAGTTATTGGAATTCAAATTACGGACAGCGGAAGGCGGGTGTTTTTTGAAAACGACCCACTTATCTAAACATTTATACAATATTTTTTCATAAATATTTTTCTTAAATATAATAAAGAAAGTTTTAGTTATTAAAAAATGATTAAAACTAAATGATTTTAAAAGATTTTTTTATAAAATTTTGTAGGTTTTTAATTTTTACCCAAGCAATACTTAATTTTTCTTAAAACCGTAAAATATTTAGAGGGCACATAATTTTTAAGATGTATCGTGCCTATTTTTATCAATAAAATAGCGTGCGTTTAAGTTTTAATGCAAAATTTTATTAGTTTTGACAATTTAAGTTATATTTTTTAATTTTACTCTATTACTTTGTAAGTGGGTACCATTTTGTAAAATATAAATTAAAAGAACAAAGAAAAATGCAATTGTGGTATTTATATTGTTTTTATTACGTTATACTCTTAGTAGATCAAAAAGGTTATTATGTAGGTAAAATAACGAAATAAACCATTCCCCAAATTTGGTAATTTTTCGAATCTATACCGTTATAAAACCGTTTTGGGTAACCGTAAAAAACTTTAAAGTTAGTGGTAAATTTGTAGTTATTTAAACTTAAAATGCTGTTTGGGATGGAACAAATCTGATTTTAATTATGTACAGTGTTAGACAATCGTACTGAAATTTCGTTGAACTTTTACGTTTTCATTGCAGATTTCGAGGACTTATTGGCGCCCGGACGTTCGCAGGAGAAAAGGGGCTTGTCGATGCTGTCGCGCTGGAATTTCATCGACAAGATCGGCAAGGAGAGGACCCCCATCAGGAGCAAGCCCTTCTACCCCGAGCAGGGCGGCATCAACACGCAGACAAGAAGTAAAATGCTGGGCGCGCCCCTGAGATGGGGTTAGGAACGGATTTCATTTTTATGAACGGCGACTTCGAACTCTTGGAACATTGTGATGAGTTTTAGTTTAAGTTACGTTAATTTTTGCTTTCGTTTAGTTCAGGTTTAAAGTATTGAGCACTGGTTACAACAGGTTAGCAAACCACTTTTCTAGGGTTAATTAACCCTAGAAAGTGCTACCTAATTAGGTATGACTTTCATTTGAAAAAAAATACTCCCTTTAAACATCATTTTTTTAGCTAAAATTTGGCAATTTTCGTTTAAATTTTATGGAAAAATTTAGTTTTGTGATTCTTTCATTTAAATACACTCACAGGCAAAATAATCGATCCACACAAATTTTCGATGAATTTCAATCGCAAATAACTTTTTTATTTGATGTCGGATTTAAACGAAAATTAAAGAATATTGTAGATAAATTAATGGACAATCGCTCACATTTTAAAAAATTACTTAAAAATAGACGTACGTTTATAATATACAGGTTTAAACAAAAAGATGTTTTTTTACCATAAGTTTAAGACACTCTGTAGATTGGCAAAACCGTATATTGTTCTAAATTAGTTTTTATAAAAGTTTTATTTATCAAGTCACATCTATTCTTAACAGTTTTGTTTTTGATTTACCTCGATATATTTATTTTTGTGGAAAATATGGATTTAAAAAAAAAACATTGCAATTTCCAATATTTTTCCTATATGAAGAACTAAGTTTGCTATGGTCCATCCATAGCCTATGGAGAATAACAGTGACAGTTTTGTTGAATCACCCCATATTTGGACATACACGGCTTTCAAAAGCTATCTAAATGTTTTTTTCAAATTAATGTTTAAATTTTGAGGTGTCTTCTTACTTTAAAAAATGGATATGTCTCCGACTGATGTTGCCAGAGCCATTAATTTAATCCAGGATGGACGGTTACAGTATTACGTGGCAAGTGTTTTAAACGTCACAAGAAGTAAAGTACAAAGGGCAACATCAGTCGGAGACATTTTTAAAAGTAAAAATACACCTCAAAATTAACACATTAACAATTTGATAGCTTTTGAAAGCTGTATATGACATGTCCAAGTATGGGATGATTCAACAAAACTGTCACTGTCATCCTCCATAGGCTATGGATGGACCATAGCAACCTTAGTTCTTCATACAGGAAAAATATTGGAAATTGCAATGTTTTTTTAAAAAATCCATATTTTCCACAAAAATAAATATATCAAGGTGAACAAAAAACAAAACTGTTAAAAATAGATGTGACTTGATAATTAAAACTTAATTTAGAACAATATACGGTTTTGCCACTCTACAGGGTGTCTTAAACTTATGGTAAAAAACATCTTTTTGTTTAAACCTGTATATTATAAACGTACGTGTATTTTTTAGTAATTTTTAAAATGTGAGCCATTCTCCATTAATGTATCTACAATATTCTTTAAAATTTAATTAAATCCGAAATCAAATAAAAAAGTTATTTGCGATTGAAATTCATCGAAAATTTGTGTGGATCGATTATTTTGCCTGTGAGTGTATATTTTCTCAAAAATTACTACTTTTCAAAGTGAAAAAGCCGCCACTATAATTGACCATGAATTTTTCAGATTTTTTAAAAAACATTTTAAGGTCGCTAAATCATTTTTTATGAGGAAATTAGTGTTTTAAAATAAGGACCCAAGTATTTTTTTTTAAAATCTAAAAAAATTCATGGTGACTTTTCTAGTTAAAACACAAAATTTTAGTTCAGCGTTTAAAAAAAAACACGAGTAAAAATGAGGCACCCCAACCTATAAGTATCGCAAAAATACATTTTTCCTTAAAATTTAAAAAATTTAAGAAAATGTATTTTTAGGCTAGGTTTTTAATTTAGGTTGTAATTATAAAGTCATACACTCAGAAAATTTTTTAGTAAATATAACAAAAAAAGTAGTTTGTCTTAATAAAGTATTATTCGTCCAACAATTGCTTTTGTTACGGCAAAAAGATCATTTTTATAAAAATTATTTATCTACAAACGCTGCTTTCAGTAATAGCATTTGCATTAATTATAAAGTAAATTTAAGTTATGTTTATAAAAATAACACTCTTCCAGATGCAGAAACGAATTGATAATAATATAGTTATTATTAGTTGTCCAAAAAAAAAGTTCTATACCGTTTACAAAAACGTTTTGTAGTATTAATGAAACCCTAATGGCATTATTCATATAAATTTTGTAAATTTTACAAATCCCCTTTCGTTTAAAATACTTTTTTTATAATATTATTAAAATTTATGTAAATTTAACAACAAATTCATTGTTAATTCAATAAACTATTTTCATTAAAACAAATTATTTATTATAATAAAAAAATTAACTCATATTATATGAAGTACAAAATAAAAAAATATGAACTCACTTTTTAAACAACAGGTCTGCTTCGTTTATAGAATAGGCCTTAAATATTTCTTTTAAAAAACGTCGAAATTTTAATTTTCTTAGTGATCTTTTTGATATTTTTATCATGCTAGATTTTACCACACTTCACTCGCACAAGTGAAATCAATAGGATTATAACACAGACTGTGGATTATAAAGTTATGTTCACCAAGGAGAGCGCTGGCCCTTTTCCCCTCTTTTTAAGGGAAATAACAAACATTTTGTTACCATTGCAAAACAATAGTAAATATTAAAAAAGTCTTTTTATATATAATAGCAATCAAATATTTTTTTTTTGTTCTTAACGTAAGCTAAGACGATAGTAATTTAAAAAAGACAAATATGCCATAAAATGAAAAAATTTTACTGTAACAACTGCTCATTACTTTATGTAAGCGCAATTAACACACAACTATAGATTTAACAAAAACATTTTGTTCGGCAAAGATTTAATATAGGTAAACATAAAGTATTTCTGATTGCCATGACAATATGGTGATGTTGGATGGACATTTTTTTATAAAAGCTCAACATTGCTGCTTCATTATAGTAAATAAGAATTTTATTAACAGTAAAAAAAGTTTATTCTGTAAATAAAAATAATTTCATTACTTTGACAAATCGTAGGTTTTTGTCCCAATAAGACACTGAAAATTTAATAAAAAAGGTACATTTTTGTATAGCCATTACAATTTTAAATTTAAGTTAAATAATAATATTTTATTAATCGCTTACAAAATTAGTTTTATTATCAGTGCAAGTGCATTTTACTGAGTGTAGCTCTATTTTACGAAAAATTTCAGTAGGTATCCAATGTTTTTTCTATTTCCTTGCTTATGACAAAAGCAACATCAAAACACACAAGACAGCAATAAGAAATTTCACCAATCATTTTGTTGATTAGTTTATATAGCAGTATATATTTTGTTCTATTTTAACGTTTGCAGATTTTGGTTTTTGATGTTTATCTTTTTAGTGTAGGAAGGCCTAATAATTTACAAAATGGCTCTAATATTAAATAAATTAAAAAATCGCAATGTTTTAAAGTGAATAGTCCAGGATTCGTCTAGGTATATATAAAAGACTGTTTGTTTCTATAGTTAAATTATGTATTACGCAATAATTTAACCATGTATAGGTATGTATAACCTGTTTCTGAATAATTTTATCAAAGATTTTGTAAAAATAAATTTCTTCCCCATAAGAAGTATTAGTTTATAAATGTTAATCATTTCAAACTATTGTTCTATTGATGTATTAAGTGAAGTATTAAATAGAAAGAGTATTTAAAATAGCAATAGTTTATTATTTTATCCTCTATCCCAAATAATTTTAGGTACCCAAGTTTAATACCGGAACCCTAATATGGCACACATGTGAACCACGTTATACTTATCTTAGAAACTTCTGGAATCAAAATAAAATTGTTAAAAAAAATCAAGCAGTAAAAAAGGTTTGTTAATATAATATTTTTATTTTCTATGAAACATCCTGTATTTTTTGCATTTTTGGATTTATCTTCTTAGTTAAAAGAATATTAGTACTTTTTGAGTAAACTACTCTCTAAAAATGAATTAGTTAAAAATGACTAATTTAATAGTTATTAGTGGCTGCTTTTTCACTTGTACCATGGTTAACCATGGAATACCATGGTATCCCAAAATTTAACAGCCAATTCTTTTGTAAAATTGTCCTCTGAATCCGAAAATACCGTCAAAAATTATGAAAGTGGAGCAGTTTTTGAGATATAGTCAATTCCATATTAAATGGATAATTACACTTAAATTGATTTCGCTTATTAAAGTTCCAAATGGGGTTAAACTCACTTTTTTATAAAATATTAAAGTTGAGGGACAGCAAATGTACAAGAAATTTGAAAATTCGTGGTCCATTGGAAGTTTCTGGGGAACGAATATTGATTTGAAATTTTGAAAGCATTTATAATCCATTTAAGTCTATTTTTCTAAAATATTTTAAACAAAATTCCTCTTCCGGTTATATATAAAAATAAAATTTAACAAAGCCATATTATGTCAGGGTACAGTAAATTCACACTTAAGTTGCTATATAAATTAGATGAAAAAATTAGGCGTGCAAATAAACTGAAAGGTGGCGTTTTGAGTTTAATCAAACCGGCATAATTCAATGTTAACGGCCTGCTAGATCTTTTTGCTGCCGCACCATGGTCTAGATAGCGATTTAAGCACAAATTTATTCAAAGATTAGTCATGTCAAAGCAAAGGATACACTGTTTAAACTATCTGTGGTGTAAAGAGTAATCTTAAAATGGTGTCAAAATCCAACACCAAGTGGTGTTAATATAAACACCATGAATTATGGTTGAAAATGTTATATTCAGCAAACACCAAAACTGTGTTTATCTAAAAATATTTGAGAAGTGCACCTACTCTGAAAAAAAGGAATAGTTCATTTAACTTTATTAATTTAGTTGACCTATAAGTATTTATTTAAATCAACTGTGGGAAGGTTAATATAAACAAAGATTGGTTTGACGGTACTAAACCAGATAGTTATTTTTTTAAATTGGTTAATTTAACCCAGAAAACTTCAGTGAAACCAACCCGCTGTATGGTTCAGTTTACTAAATATGTTGTTTGTAAAATAAGAGTTACTTTAACCTGAAGCACTCTGTTAAAACGATTAAAACAATTTTCCGTGCATTCCCGGTTGCATAGTGTGTACCGATCGCGGCAAAAGCGGTGTGGATC